GGGAGGGGGGGCTGTCAGGAAGCGTGCACGAGGGGCCAAAGGGGCCGCACTACTTACACGGCCAGAGTGGTGTGCCGGCCACCACCACCGTCTCTTTCTCTCTTTGCGCGGGCAGCGGGAGAAGGGGGGTGGGTGGTTCGAGAGTGTCAGGTGTTCTCATCTCAGCGCTTATACGGCTACGAAACAAAAGAAGCGAAACGGGACCCGCGACGGTGGCGTTAGAGAGGAGGAGAGCCGGCACGGGGCCTCGGGATATATAAACGTAATAATTCGTGGACAACAAATCATTTCTGGTCGGGCTGTGCCGCGCGGGGCGGATAGGGGTGGTGGTGGTGGATCGTGGTGGTCTGGCCCTGGTCCGGCCCCGGTCCGGCCTCGCAACACAGCCTCCCCGGCCTCCCGCACTGGACGACAAAGGCCCCGACTGATCCGGCCGGCATAAAGACCCCCTCCCCCCTTCTCCACCCGACAACAAATCGGCTCCTCTTCCCTCTCCTCTTCTTCTTCTTCCATCTAATTAAATCTCGGACATCAGCCGACCCAATCCAGTGGTATGGGCCTCCTCTCTCTCTCGCCGCCCTCACGACCGCTGAAAATGAAGGAGTGAGCGTGTGACCCGATTCCGTCACATGTCCGTATTTCCCATGACCGTCCGAGATTTTCCCCGACTTTTCCAGATCCCTTTTCCCCCCTCTGACTTTCGGTAACGTTTTTCGAGTTTTTTCAACAAACTTGTAGTGGTAGCCCTATGGTCACTTATTGAGTGGTGCAGAGTTTATGTCACGCTTTTTGTGTTCTGGAAGAAACATGACTCTCCCGTTTACCGTGACCAAGGTCGGACAGATCCTTTATCCACCCGATATCCCGATCTAAAGAGAGAGGGCCTTGGTGGGCGAGGCCACGCGAGGACGAGGCCGTGTCGTATCCCCAGCCGAAGCGACACGCATGTCGTCGAAAAAGGCCGGTGAGTAGCGCGACCGCGAGTAGCGAGCGACCCGTGCGGAGGCCGCACTGCTTCACCTCACCCACCCACCCCGGGTGAGAAAGAGGGGAGAGAAGGGAGGGGGAGGCCGGAGTGGACGGGGACGGTTGCCAAAGGGTGAACTACATAAAAGAAAAGAGGAAAAGGCGAGTGGGGGTAGAGGGAAAGAGGGGGGGGGGGGGGGGGGGATGTGTGGAGGGATGAGAGGGATGAAGCAGAGAAAGAGGCGCAGGCATTCCTCGTAGGATCAGGCCGCCGCCAAGGGGGTGCGGGGAAAAGGGCAGAGGAGGGGGGTGGGGTGGGGAGCCTCTACAAGGGCGTTATTGTCAAGGGGAGGAGGAGGAGGGGGAGGGGCGCGACACATGAGAAATACCGTCGCCCCGCCCCACCCTGGCCACGCTGCACCCTCGTCAGCGCACGGGGGCGGACGCCAGCAGGCGGGAGGAGACGACGTGGTGCCAAAACTTTACTTCGAGGAGGATTCGAATCGTTGTCCTGGCCGTCGATATACTCTCCCCGTTCCTCCTAGCTTCCTCTCCCCACCTCGGGGGCTGCTCCGATCCGCCCCGCCCCGCTCCGCCCCCGAGCTGGCCACCTAAGCCCTGGTGCGGGCTTCCCCTTCCCGCTCGCTGCAACTTGATTCTCTCCGAAATGACTTCCTGTCTGACGCTCAGCTCCCACCCCGCCACGCCCCGCCTCCGCTTCGCCCCCCGTCGCTGCCCGCGCCCGAAACCTTTCACGTCAATCAGCTTTCTTTTTATGCTTTACGCAATTCCGAACATTTTCCCGTCGACCAGGGGAGGGGAGGGAAAGCGTCACGTCGAGCAGCGGTCGCGAAGCGCGCATCGACAATCTCAGTTCCATCATTTTATTTTTAATTTCGGTTTTTCAATTTTTGTAAAAAGTAAAATCGATTATGGCAGAGACGCGAGTAACGGAGGGGGGTATGGTGGGAGCGTGGAGGATGGTTTCTAGTTCGGGGCCCCTACCACTATTCCGCCCCATGCCACGGATGTGACGTAATGGCGAGCGATGTGGTGTCGCGATACTCCCCCCCCCCAACCCAGCCCACATCGCTGACATGATCTGGTCGAACTCTACCTGGACATCCACGGCCACCACGCCACGCCACGCCGCCGCTGCTGTGCGGCACGCCATACACCAGGCGCCATGACAATAGCCAGTAAAGGGGAGAATGGAATAATGACGACGATCATGAAGCTCTGATAGCAAAGAGAAAAGAGTGGGGGCGGATATAACAATAATAAAACGCGAGAAAAACAGACATTACTTCTCAATCAGTGAGGCCATCCTGAGGCCACCCGTGCCCGTCCGGAAGGACGAGTGGGCAGCAGGACAAAAGAAGGTCTAAAGGTCACCTCAACGGTCTACGCGGTCACTTCTGCGACCACTTCACGAAACGCTACTTTTCGTAAATAATTCGGGAGTGCGCGGCGACCCGCAAGAAAAGGGAAAGGGATGATGGGAGTACTATGGTTCTGCGGGAGAGGAGCTGAGGGAGGAGAGGGGCATGAGGCCTGCCTCGTGACATATTTACTGTATCAATCTGTGCCGAGGGCTGCCTGCCTCCCCCCACCCCTTCCCCCACCACCACCAACCCCCCGGGCTCTTTGTTCGCTCTTCCTTCCGCCGAAATACACGCGACAAGACAGGGAGTATAAGGGGAAAGGTGGGGGGGAGGGGGTGGTGGCTCACGGTAAAAACGAGCCCTGGGATTCCCAGGAGTATTAGCCGTTTTCCAGGGTAAATGGAAGAGTCCCAGTAGGTGCCCTGGAAGCGCGTTTTTCTTCCCAGGGGATGTCCTGGGTCAAACATCAAGTCCCAGGGGCTTCCCTGGGACCAGGGTGGCCGCTCCCAGCTCCCAGGTGCTCTCCTGGGATTAAATTGACGTTCCCAGGGCAACCCCTGGAAATCAATTCTTCCAGGGTGTTTGTTGTGTTTCCCAGACGGGAGAATGTCGAGGAGTAGCTGAACCATAAACGCATTAAAGTACTTTTTCTTCCAAAAAAGTTTCTCTTTTGCTAAATTATGTACCGTCTGCAGAGCTTTGCAAAGCAATACTTGGATATCTGCGCCATCTATCGGGATAGATGGAAACTAGCACCGCGGCCGCACCGCAGCAGCTAGGCTGTGTCGTCTAACCTCCTATCGACAGCTGTCTTCGCTGTGGTGAAGTGTTAAGATGCATTTGTACGACACAGCTTGACCGTTCATAATTTACCCATATCTTATCATGTTTTTAAGTTTGATTATTATAAATTACAGTAAAATCAAGAGCTGTCAAAAGTTTGGAGAACTATTTCCTTGCGTAGCTCGCAGCTGACGACGGTGGCGATCGCCAATGCTAGAACGACGCGTTTATGTTTTGACACAGTGAGTATTTTCATTGCTGGTTGCTTCATCGTCGCTTTTCTCACCCTTGCGTGAGGTCATACTTCATAATTTACGCCTGTGTTGGTTCGGAATACGTAACATTTGAATCACTTGTTGCCGTTTACTTAGGCCTCAGAAGGTCACATAACCTACGATGTTACTGGGTAAATTGTTTGTGTTTGTTCGATATTCATGCTTTTTCTCTAATTTTATAGATGCTGTGATGAAAATATCTCAGAAGGACTCGATCGAGCTACTCCCTCTTAGCTGTCACTTCCCTACTCAGCAGTGTTGGCTACAGTTCAACAAGACCCAAGAGTGACATGAATGAAGAAACTATTCAGTTTTCAGTTCTTACTTTTCTCAAGATGTTGATGTCCCTGCTCAGCAGTAAGTTTTTATGACTTATTTTCATTTTGAGATTTTTAGTTCACAAACCGTGATAACTTTGACATCCGTATTAGAGTCTAACATTTGTGTCTGTAATTCAACTCATCAAATATTTTTTTATAACCGATAATACCAGCAAAGTAGTTTCTGTTTACTTTTCAGACTTCACAGTGTTTTCCTTTAGCAAAGGTTTGCATTTCAAAATCGATTTTTGTATTTATTTTGATCCATATGTTTTTACAGAAACAATTGTCAATGGAAACGTTTGCTGAGCTGGGTGATGACTCCCCGCCCAGTTCCTATACTTGCAAGCGGATATAATGGCTGTAAAAGAGATAAAATATTATGAAGAACTGCAACTACAACTGTGTAATTTTTCTTTATGAGAGGATGATGGAGTTTGGTATGATGTGACAACTGATTTTTAAGTGTGCTGAGGTAATCTTCTATAACAAATTGTAGTGACATTTTTAGTTCACAAACCGTGATAACTTTGACACCTGTATTAGAGTCCAACTCTTGTGTCTGTAATTTAACTCATCAAATATTTTTTTATAAACAATAATACCAGCAAAGTAGTTTCTTTTTACTTTTCAGACTTCGGTGTTTTCCTTTAGCAAAGGTTTGCATTTTAAAATCGATTTTTGTATGTATTTTGATCCATATGTTTTCACAGAAACAATTGTCATTGGAAACGTTTGCTGAGCTGGGTGATGACTCCCCGTCCAGTTCCTATACTTGCAAGCGGATATAAAATGGCTGTATAAGAGATAAAATATTATGAAGAACTGCAACTACAACTGTGTAATTTTTGTTTGAGAGGATGATGGATGGAGTTTGGTATGGTGTGACAATTGATT